ACAATTGAAAGCAACGATGAAATAAGTGCCATTGCACATGAAATAATAAGCAAAAAATTGTTGAAAATGACATTAACTGCTAAGGACACTGAAAAAATAACACTTCTCTAAGGGACACAATAGAAGATCCTCCTAAACGTGTGAATGATAAGACAGAATCGAAGACCCCGGGTCTTCTAATCTGTCCAGGGCTTTATTTCCGTCTCTCAGTACATTAAAAGTAATTGAATATGAACAATCTTGTATATTGGCATCCAACAGACACACAAATTTACAGGGATAGAGCGAGTTTAAACAGTAAAATGTGAAGGAAACTTCTTCTAAGTTTGAAACTATATTTGAGGCAGAAAGGAACGTTGGCACAGGTGGTGCTGTATCAACAAACTGCATGTGAAATTGGTTGAGAGCTTGATTTCCTTCCAAATCTTGAAGATTTATAAAAAGTGTATATCATCCTTCTTCAAAATTTTTGGAATGGGCAAATTACAGAATATAAGTTTCATACCATCAGGTGTATCCACTGAACGATTATAAAATGATTCTTCATTTACAGTCCACTTAACTGAAGTTTTGTCATTAGTGAGAATATCAAAATACCTACTTTTCGCATTTTTGTAATTTATCAAACGAGTCAATCAATGTAAAAGGATTTTTAATATGAAATGTTTTTGTGAAATTTTGGCACCTCTGGTTTGCACAATTTAACTGAGCAACTCTAGTTCATTTGTGGTCATCATGTTGCCAACCGCATAAACGCTGTAGCATTTGAATGATAGAAGAAGCGCTGTAGAAGAAGTGCTTTAGATAGAAGAAAGGAAATATTCAAATCATTTTGTTTGTTATCAGTTCTCTACTCATCTTGTGATTAAAAAAAAAGGAAGCAGAACATAGAATTAGTATTAAAAAATTCATTTATAATTAGAGACTAGTTAAGTGTCCGCATAATGTCTTGATGTTCAAAGACTTTCTCTGAACTGACAAAAAAAAACTCGACACACCTTTCTCTCTATTTCTGTCTGTGAAGGATGTGTGAGGATTTTCGGTTAGACTGGCCTAAACAATTTCAAGAAAAATACTATATGGCGATGATCAGCATCGAATTGTGAACAAAGTGGATGGATCATTTCATTTTTCGAAAATTTTCGCTTTTGTGCTTGTGAAAACTTTTGCCTCTGCCCGCCACTGGGACACATTGAAGAAGCTTTCAGGACGTATCGTCGGATGCAAATCTTGCGCTGAGCACGAATATGATCTCATTTTGCATAAAAACCTATATGTTTCCATGATCGTCTTTCAAGCTCTTATGCATAGTTTGATCTGAAGACTACAGACATCTGATTTTGGAACTGTGAAAACATATTTATTGTAGGTACACATCTTTCCAAATATCATGTCAAAAAAGTGTATAGGAGTTCATTTAACTGTTGAAAACGCAAAATCAGCTCGAAAATCACTCGAAAAACTCTCCCATCTACAAATGACTTCTTTACTGTTTTTGAAGGAAACGTTGAAGCAATTAGAAATTGCTCCAGTGACCTATTTTCTGATGCACTTTCGAGTGTCAGTAAAATAAAAAAGTGTGCAACAGCTCAAAACCCAAAACTTGGTTTTCCAGAAAGCTCCTAGAAAACGAGGAGAAACCACAACTCAAATTTGATCAGACCCTGAAAAGGGCATCAGATTCTGAAGAAAATGAGACATCAACCACTCTTTACGATGTTTGTGCTCCGCGTTATGGTACTTGAAAAATCTCTTTGTTTGGAACTCGCTCTTGATACTGTCATTTAACTTGAATATGTCAACGACGACATTCGAAAACACTCTACAAAACGGACCGATAGCTTCTTTTTTATCGCTGGAGGCGACTCCGAGCAAAACTCTTGAAATCCATTGCAGATTTCTGGATGTGCAGAAAACAACGTTAGTTCAACTCTTTTGTTTCGAGACAATGTAGCACTCTATATGCTTAAGATAAAGTTCTGTTTCTCAAAACTTTCAAGATTAATAATAAATAGTAGTGCAAACTGCACACAATTAGCCACACGTAAAGCAAAGCAATAAATATATATATATATATATATATATATATGATAATTTAGTAAATTATTGCAAGTCTTTCATTGTCAATTCCATTCGTAGATGCCGAAAGGAATGGTACAATCGTATTGTTTTGTATATCTAACCATGACAACTTTTGTTTAATAAATGACCAGACGTAACGACGGACAATTCCTACAGCTAATGCTATAATGAATTTGAAGACTTTGGCAAGTTCTCCGATGCGTTCGATGATCGTTGTGATAAAATAAATCAGTGTTGCATCACTAACGTAGGAATAAGTGACACGACATTACCGCAAACGACAGTATCGCGAATACAAGAAGCGACACTCATTTATTGGAAAAGAAGAATAAGTGAGCCTGATTTTGTGTTTTGTATATCATGTTTTCAAATCTGGGCGAAGTTATGTAGTTAATAGTCATTATGTGATACAATTACAGATATCCAGTTTCATTGCTTATCATGTTTGACCGATTCTCTCTTCAGCACACGATAAACTGAAGCTCACTATTCATAGCAGTGTGGAACCCGTGACACGACCTTTCCGCGAACAGGATCCCGACTCTTCCACGAATTTTACTATAGTGCACATTTGGATATTTTGGCAGTGTTCGCAGGAGGCGGGGTCGGGCATTGTGAGAGTGAGTTCGAAAAGTAGTTTCACACAAGACATATTTTTATGAAGCCGAACTAGATATTTGTGACTGTATCAGATAAGGACTAGTCACCACATAACTTCAGTTAAGTTTGAAATCTTTTTCAGTAAACAAGTCTTCGCGGTAATGCCGTTTTTTGTATTCGTGGTACTGTCGTTCACGGTAATGTCGTTCGCAGTACTGTCGCTCGCGGTAATGTTGTTCGCGGTAATGTTGTTCGCGGTAATGTCGCTGTATCATCTTCGTTTGTATCCTCTATATGTCAGAATAGTACAAGAACATCAGAATGACTGATAATACACTATTCGACTTAACGATTTTAATACTTTAGGATCGATTCTAATATTGAAGTCTTTTATTTGCACGCGAGAAAAATGACATCACTTATATAACAGACAGCAGTCAATATGTCTACGCACTATGTATATACGCAAAAAATATGACTATTTAAAGCAGAGAATGGATACAATTATTTTCTTTTTTTGGCCACTGTAAAATGCTACTACATATATTTTTTAATTACAGGCTAACTGAACTCGGTACAGCTATGTGATCGGCATCGGACTTGGTCAGGTTGAACCGTCCGGCTGGTAAGTCTCAACCGAAAGCGGAACGGAATTGGTTGCGCGGTTCGGTTACATCTCTGGGCCAATCCATGATCAATACTAAAATAAACTTTCGATAACAGAGTTCAAATCGAGCTTCTTGAGTTTATATAAACGATATTGGGCACAGAAATGTTTCCTCAGAAGAGTCCTACTCATGCAAAGCTGTTAATCTAAAGTTATGTACGCGATTCGACACTAGAATAAAATTGACCTACAATTGTACAAAACAGTAGCAATACAATACAGTATTATTTATTTATTCTAAGTTCAATGGTATAGATTACACAAAAAATTTCTGCAAGATGAGAGCAGATCTAGAGAGGATTACAGAAGATGCACATTTAGTAATGTGTGTAGCCATTATTTGAGCTCATTGCGATTGCGCTCTATTATCTTGTGAAAATTTGTGAATTCACCTTTATGTATATCGTCGACATAATCAACGTGGTTTTTGCCTAAATTATATTTTTCTCATTGGTTGAAAAAAAGGCGCCAATGAGAAAAATAAAATTTAGGCAAAAACCACGTTGATTATGTCGACGCCAAAATAGAAGTGAAAATGTAATTATAAGGAACACGCTGTCGGATTTACCGACATATTATGCATTTGCATTTTTATCCAATTTGGTTTAGCGCGGAGCAAGCACCAAATTTTCTAATGTTTTTGGCCGAGAAAAGACTTTTTACGAGGCGTTACGGGTTGTTAATAATAGTCCTATGTTCAGCTAGGAGCTCCTATGCTGAGCTAGGAGGGTCTAATAGTGACATTCTTGCAGTCAATTGTCTCATCTATCCATCGGTATCCAATGGCAATGGCTACGGCAAGATCCGGATATGTCCAGTGGTGTTTGAAAACCAGGAAACAAGAGTTAATCATTTTTCATGGTCATCAAAAATATGATGCATACGGATAGAAATAGCCCCTTTTTCCAATTAAGCATTACCCTCAACGTGCTTCTCTGCTACTGGTAGTTCGGATCCTGTCGCTTTGTTTCGTTTCAAAATGACAATCAAAACATGCGAACTGGTAAAAGCTGCTGTATCTATGTTTATACAGCAGAGTAAACCACCAATTCACCCATTCGCATTTTCAATCCGGATAATGCCGCTGCATCTTTAACTCCATGTGCAAACGCAACACTGGCCAAAACAAATGTCAATAGAGCCATAATTGCGCCTATTGTTACTATGCTGTTTAGTTGGCTACAGAACGGTAAGCATTTTATTGCATGCTACATGCATGCTTACTTTTCTTTCTGTTTGTTCTTGTGAGTCATGGGTTTCTAAACAAGTAGTATTCGGTGTATGTTGCGAACAAAGATGAAGTAAGAAGACAAATGTGTTGTTTAGCCTTGATTTGTTTGCAACAGAAGATAAACTATCACTTCACATTGTGAACAGCTTCACGTTTGTATTTAGCATTGATGGCAAAAAAATATGTTCACGATGAAGTAAAACCAAATCAGCGTTATTCAGATATATTGAATGAACCACGAAAATTGTTGTTACCAATTGATGGTTATCAAAATGTTCCCTTGATTTCTTTAGAAGAAGCAGTTAGGAATATTTCACATTTATTAGATAGTGATATATCTACCAAAGTTTATATAGCAAAAGAGAACAGTCGTCATCCTGAGGATGGACTTACACCAGACGAATCT